CTTGGGCCATCCTCCACTGCCTTCCCGGGCCACAGCAGAGAGCTGGCCTGGAAGAGGGGCAACCGGGACAGAATCCGGCGCCCCGACCGGTACTAGAACCCGGGGTGCTGGCGCCGCAAGGTGGAGGATTAGCCTAGTGAGCCGCGGCGCCGGCCCACAGTGTTCCTTTTGAGAGTCCTCCTCAACATAGTGCTTCCATGACAGCCTCTGGTCCACTAGCATCAGTGTAGAAAGGAAACCTACATAGGGTGCCTCTCCCAACTTGGGTGCTGATTGTTTTCAGGGACCCATGCCTGCAAGCTAGAATAGCTACCGCTAGACGGCACTCCAGCCTTTAAAAGGAATCCTTAAATGCCCATCCCTCTAAACTATTCCATTCAAGGCTTTTGCACACCTAAATGACCCAGGTTATGAACCCTCACAACAGCTGTTAACCTACCTTCACAGTGCGACTGGTGAAACCTTATCCCTATGACCTTAGATGTGGTACTCCAAAATGAAAAATCTGGGGAACAAACCACAGATTTCAACCTTGCCTTGTTGCTAGAAGCAATTTTGCCCATAATATCTGGAGTATCATGTGTCCCGTTAGTGTCTCTTGTCTTCCATCTTACTCCAGGGAGGTACCTTTTCTAATTGCCATTCTTTTTTTCTCTCCACCAGTTATTTATTTTTTTTCTGAACTTTAGTTTCCTCATTTGGAAAAAAGATTAAAAACACTCTCTGGGAAGGTTATTCTAGAGGGTAGAGGTGATTTATGTAAAATAATTTTTCATAAATAGATTTTTTGGCATTTTAGTGACACCATTGTTAGAGTTTTGCTATTTATTTGTGCTCTCTCTCTCTCTCTTTTTCTTTTCCTTCCTCCCTCCCTCCCTCCCACACACTTTTTTTCTCCACATACGTCTATTGTGAGTATTCAAAAAATTCATGAAAAATGTGTCTAAAGAAAGAACTATGCATGAATTTTGAAATTTTTGCACCAAAATAAACTTGTCCTTTTAAACAAAAAGATTTATTTACTTACTTACTTACTTGCTTACTTACTTGAAAGAGCTGCAGAGAGAGAGAGAGAGAGAGAGATCTTCCATCTGCTGGTTCACTTCCAAGATGGCTGCAATGTCCAATGTTGGACCAGGCTGAAGCCAGAAGTCAGTAGCTTCTTCCTGGTCTCCTCCATGGGTACAGGGGCCCAAGGACTTGGGCCATCCTCCACTGCTTTCCCAGGCACATTAGCAGAGATCTGGATTGAATGTGGAGAAGCCAGGACATGAACCAGCTCCCATATGGGATGCCCACATCATGAGTGGCAGCTTTACCTGCTGTGCCACACCGGCCCCTAAATTTGTCTTTTAATACTATTTTCTATGAACTTTTTGAAGTGTGTGTGTTGTGTGTGTGTGTGTGTGTGTATATATATATATATATGTTTTTATATGACAAAATTTAGCAATTCCTTTTCTTTTTATTTTGTTAATTAAGCTGAAAAATTCCACAGCTGACTCTTTGATATTCCCCATTCTTTTTCCATGTGTTACTGAAGTTTAGGAGAAGGCCCACTATTCATTTTATGATGTAAGAAGCTTTCATTTGGGCCTAGCTCCTCTAGAAGTGCTAAACCTTTCAGCATTTTTCCTTCTGGGGTCCGCGTAACCGCTAATAGCTTGGGACGTTTCTAAGGTGCTGCAATTATTTTATAACTTCAGTTTTAATTTTGAAGTATGAAACCATTTTTCTCTCCTCTATACCTATTAGAGTACTTTGTATCAATCATATTATTATTTGTTTATACATCCATTGTTCCACTCCCTTCACTTAATCCTTCAAAAAAAAAAAAAAAAACCTCTATGAATGCTAAGGACATAGCCGGTACTTAGTAAATGTTTATTTACCACGTGTCACAATTTATTGATGAAATACTATTCCATGTTAGGGAAAGACAATGAGTAGATTGTCTTGTGGCCTTTCTGCTCCTCTGTTGTTAGAGCTCTTCATCAGTGTGAGATGTTATGCCTTAATTAGAACTGTAAGTACCCATGAATACATTTAAATGATTGTAAATTTCAGAGATAATGTTTCCAATTCACATGCCTTAGTCTCCTTTTCTCTGTACCAACACTGTAATCAAGGTACAGGGTCTTATTTAAGCTAACAAATAATTATCCTTCATTACATAAGTAGTGTGTAACTTGACCTTAAAAGCCTGCTTAACTTGACAAGATGGCAATGAATTTAGCCACCAGCTGTGCCTACATGTACTTCCATAGTTTCTTGGTACCTATGAATAGGTCTTTATTTTGGAAGACTGAGAGAGTCCTTCATATTCCGACTAGTATCCAGAATTATTAGTGTTTCCAGGCCATAGCACTGCAAGATTTCACATGAATTTCTGTTGGAACTCAAAATACTTTTGAATCTGTGCCTTTTGTTCCTTTTGTTCATAGACCTACAGGTATTCATGCGTTTCTGAGATGTGTTCCTGTGATGTGCATATGTGCCGATTGCTTATCCTGTCTAAATTATTACCAAAAACTGGATGAAAAAAAAACTTCAACAGTATGAGATTTGAGTGTATATGAAATTGTTTAGAAGTAGAAAATATTTAAAGAGCTATAAGGAATCCAAATGATTTAAGATGGTTAAAAAGAAAACAAACCAAGATTTCAGTGAATATTTCTTTGACCTTAGAGTGATTAAAGGTTTCTTAACAATAGAAAAAGCAACAAGAGAACATAAAGTTACATCTAAATTATACATGAATTAAAAACCTTCAATCTTTTGAAAATCTAGACAGTTTGATAAAAAAAAGTTCTGGCTGATAAACGTGTGATGTTTTTGATGTATAAAAAACTTTCCTCTTGGATCAATAAGGTATACTAAAATAGAAGCAATATTATAATTATTATTAAAAGCAATGTTAATTTTTAAAAGCTTTATTTGTTTATTTGAATGGCAGAGTTAGAGAGGGAGAGAGCGGGAGAAAGAGATCCTCCATTGGGTGGTTCACTCCCCAAATGGCCACAAGACTAGGGCAGGGCCAGGCTGAAGCCAGGAACCAGGAGCTTCCAGCTTCCAGGTCTCCCACATGGCTGCAGGGCCCAAACACTTGGGCCATCCTCTTCTGCTTTCTCAGGCCATCAGCAGGGAGCTGTACCTGAAGTGGAACAGCCAGGATGAGAACTGATACCCATATGGGATGCTGGTATTGTAGATGGTGGCTTTACATGCTATGTCACAACACCAACCCTCATCAACAATATTAATTTTTAAAAACATTCTGTGTTGGATATCCTTCTCCAGACTTTTCATATATTCTTTTAGCTTTCATCATAATTCTTTGAATAGATGCTATTACTCCATTTCACAGTTGAAGAAATTAAGATGCTGTTATTACTGCAGTTCACATGGGAGGCTAAGTAACTTGTTTATGCTGCAACAGCTAGTAAATTGTGTACTGTTCTTAACTGTAGGACTGGTTTTGTTGATTCTGGAGTGTGGCTTTGTTTTCCATGCTCTTAACCATTATCCTATACAGCCTAAAATGGGCAAAGGACAAGAAAGGAAGTTTTTAAAAGATGAGATAAAATGACTCCAAAAGCATGAGCCTTTTGCAGTTTCACTAATAAATGCAAATTAAAATTAAAATACAATGTTTTTTCTTGCTAATAGGGTGATAATAAGAAATTCTTGTGGCATGGTGGTGGAAATGCATGAGTTTCAGCATGGGGTTAGAATGTGTGTCCCTGTTGGCGGAACGGATATGATTGAGGATAGATGTTCCAGGTTAAGGCTGGAAATCCTGCATCTGCCAGTAGGGAGTGGGCCGTTGTCTTTGGTCGCACTTCTGGAGGTCAGATTTTTGAGCTTCTAGTGTTCAGTCAGTTATATTCATGGCTGTTACATCGTATGCAAGATTGTCCTTTCCCTTCCCCGGATGAATAGGGTCTGGTGGGTGTGACTGCATGTGCACGTGTACAGGATGACTAGAGGTTACAGTGGCTTGCTTTTCAGCAAGTCTTTCAAGATATTGTTGCCAGGGTTTCAGCATTGATGATAAATTTTAAATTACAGGCTTATTTGGGGCATGATGGAATTTGAGAGAAAATTCGTAAAGCTGATCTTACTTGCCTCCACTGTTGACAAATGATTCTTGATGTCTGATTTGGTGCAGAATGCAGGGAATATAGGTCTAATTCCTTTATTCAAACTCAGTAAATGGTTTGGGACAATTAATTTCCAATTGTTTCCCAGTAGAGCAGATTTACTTGTATATTAATGAGGCACAGGTGTTAGGCCCCTGGTGTCTGCATGCCTGGGAGGCATATTTCAGTTGTTTATCTACTCAGCCATAGGTACTGCAAGGTATTCAGGCTTGCCTTTAACAGTTTTTACAGTGAGGCTTTTTAATTTTTTGATGCTTTTTTTCAAATTTGCCCGCACCTGTTAAAATTTTAAAACTGATCATGTAGAAAGAAGTTGCAGAGATTTCAATAGTGAATAGCAGTAACAGCTAAAGAAAGTAGTCTTATAATACTTAACTGCCCAGCCTAACATGAAAGAGAAACAAGTTTATCTACACGAATATTTCATGTGAGAATTCAGTGTAATCAACAATTCACCTTTTTGTGTGTATTTTTTTGAGGAAATATGTCGTTGGCAGTCAAGTATTTATTTGGAGTCAAGTATTTATATTAATATTCATTTTTTTGTTTATTCACTGAACTGCACTACCAGCATTTTAGTGGAGATGGAATAGCCTCCTTAGACATTATGAATTTCAGTCGCTGGCATAATTATAGCTATCTACATATTCATTAAATCTACAGAAGAACTGTGTCCAAAAAGACAGCCATGCATTCAGAAACAGTACACAACTAAATATACACGTTTTAAAAGTTGCGTTTCTTAGACTTGTTTTAAAATTAATTTCCTGTAGCACTCCTCTCTAAGCAGAAGAATTCTAACAAAGGGATTCCCGTGCTTTGGTTTCTGTCCTGTAGGAAAGAATGGGAAGAACTATTTGTAAACAACAATTACTTGGCAACAATAAGGCAGAAGGGGATTCATGGGCAGCTGAGAAGCAGCAGGTTCCGCAGCATTTGCTGGAAGGTAAGAAGAAAATATTTATTTACAGTTTGTGATTGCAATAGATCAACACATTACCTGGTGCCCTGGAAGATTACCCATGAAGGGGATCGCTGAATTTTCCAAGCGACTTCACTCCCAGTGTTTGGCCATTCCTGTTTATCTTTCACAGGACATTTCCTAATGCGATTGAACCACCTTAGTCCTGAGTAACTGGTGATGATAAAGCAATCATTTGAAATAACCATCTTTTCTTCTTTTGATGGCGCAAAAATCAGAGCAACACTTCTGTGTTCTCCAAAAATGTTTGCAGAAATTCTTGAGCTGGGCAGGAAAGGGAGGGGGCAATTAGCTTGCAGGTTCTTACTGTATCAAGTGTCATCATTTAGTCATCCTCGCTTTTCTTTTCATAAATAGAAGATCGAAAGAATTTTTCACATTTCTTTTGTTTAAAAGCACAGAAGTCAAGGCAACAAGGAGAAGTAGAAGGAAATTGGGTTAGTGTCTTTGAAGGAAAGAGCCTGTGGTTACCAAAACTGGTATTTTTTTAATTGCTTTGAAATAGTATCCCCTTTTGTTCTCCAAAAATGAATTAATTGGGATTTAGACTGGCTTCTAAAATGACTTCTACCGAAAGTTTTTAGGATTATCTGCATAAATTGAGCATACTGTGTCTGTGCAAGTAAAGACAGTAAGAAATGCATGATATATGGGACAGTTTTAGATTTAATAATTTAGATTTAATAATTAAAATACATTTTTCTTCTGTTATATGCAGCAGTAAAGGCAGGAGACCTGCTGCTAAAATATTTGTATACAAATATTTGTATACCACCCCCATTCCCTGTTGTTTAACTTTTAGTATTCTTCATTTGCTAAATTTAAACCCAAATCCAGATTTATTTTAATGTTTTATTAAACTAAATTAAATCAGATTTGTCTTTTTAAGAGTGCTTGTTTTCTAAGCTGATTGCCAGTTATAAATTACATTTTTGTTGTTGTAAGAGGAATCACTTCGCCTTGCAGACTGTGACCTCTGTCCCCACACTGCTTTTCTCTACTCATGACCTGTTCGTTTTAAAACAGAGCCTTATACCTAGAGTTGATTCATTGGACCTTGTGCTTCTTAATAACCCCTGCCACTTCCATTAACATTGAAATCATACTCAAGTATGATTCAAACCTCAGTAAATTTTTCTTAATTTTTAATATAAATGTGGAGAGGGTTTTGACATGAGACATCATAAATATCATAGTTCTTTTCAATTTTTAGGTGATTGAGTTTGGCCTAGTTTCACATTTTATTATGATTTGTATGAAGATTTTGTTTTTTTTCTTGACAGCTATTTCTTTGTGTTCTTCCTCAAGATAAAAGTCAGTGGATAAGTAGAATTAAAGAATTAAGAGCATGGTATAGCAACATTAAAGAAATAGTAAGTAAATAGTAAATTTAATTGATGTAATTGTTTTCTTGTATATTCTGTATGGGTCAGAATCTCTGATCTTTGTGTTTTTTTCTTTCCCAGCATATCACAAACCCAAGGAAGGTTGTTGGCCATCAAGATTTGATGATCAATAATCCCCTTTCACAGGACGAAGGGGTAAAGTTTGTATTCATCTCTCAGCCTCTTTTAGCTGTAGGAAAAGGCCAGTGTGACCAGTTACCAGTCGTTCTGTGTTACAATACCCAGTGTATTTCTTACTGCACATACGGTAATGCTAAAACCTGATGGATATTGCCGGACTGTGTTCTGTAGGAGGTGTAGGAGCTCTTTCTGCAGAAAGGCACCGAGAGATGTCCCAGGGGTCATTGAGAAGGAAGGGTTACAGGCGAGCGTGAAGTTGACGCCAGAGCCAGGTTGCCAAGGCTGCAGGGGACAGGGTGGCTGAGGACAGACAAGGGTTCATCTTGAAGGCCTAACTCCCAGGGAGAAAGAAGTAAATATGGAGGAAGCAAACAAATACAGAAAAAGATCAGGCCTACCTCTACTCATATTCCAGGGAAGACTGCAGGCTACTTTCAAGATACTGGGTAACTTCTTGAATTGCTGCTGCTCTGATTTCTATTTACCTGAAAAAGTGGAGGGGAGAGTTTCTCTTTAATATATATTTTCCCCCGATTATGTATATGATTAGCATAATTCAGTCCTCGGTACAGCAGCATAAAATAATCAAGTAACTTTTTTTTCGGATTTATTTATTTATTTGAAAGAGTTACACAGAGAGAGGAGAGGCAGAGAGAGAGAGAGAGAAAAAGAGAGAGAGAGAAGTCTCCCATCTGCTGGTTCAGTCCCCAGTTGGCTGCAACAGCTGGAGCTGCGCTGATCTGAAGCCAGGAGCCAGGAGCTACCTCCCAGTCTTCCCACATAGGTGCAGGGGCTCAGAAACTCAGGCCATCTTCTACTGCCTTCCCAGGCCATAGCAGAGAACTGGATCAAAAGTGGAGCAGACAGGACTTGAATTGGCACCCATATAAGATGCCCACACTGCAGGCAGTGGCTTTACCCACTACACCACAGCACCAGCAAGTAATTTTTAAAACTTTCCTTAAATTCACATTTTAAAATGTACATAGAGCCGGCACCACGGCTCACTAGGCTAATCCTTCGCCTGCGGCGCTGGCACCCCAGGTTCTAGTCCCAGTTGGGGCGCCGGATTCTGTCCCGGTCTCTCCTCTTCCAGTCCAGCTCTCTGCTGTGGCCCGGGAAGGCAGTGGAGGATGGCCCAAGTGCTTGGGCCCTGCACCCACGTGGGAGACCAGGAGGAAGCACCTGGCTCCTGGCTTTGGATTGGTGCAGTGCGCCGGCCGCGGCGGCCATTTGGAGGGTGAACCAACAGAAGGAAGACCTTTCTCTCTTTCTCTTTCTCACTTTCTAACTCTGCCTGTCAAAAAAAATGTACTTAAAACTTATTAGGTTATAAAAAAAACCTTTATAGAAAACAGTACATGCCTTTTGTAGTGCATTGGTTATTCAGGTCAGATTGAAGCTGGGAGCACTTGGCCAATGGCTCCTACTGTAATCCTTTTGTTGTTTAGGAGAGTAGCAAGTACAGACCAGTCAAAAATATTGTTCACTTGATATAGGTAATAGAAATTTTTTAAGATATAAGCAATAATAACAATCTGGAAAAATTGATATTAGAATAAGGATGTGCTTTTGAGATTAATAAAAATTAGCATAAGCTCAGTTTTCTTATCTGAAATATAAAATAACTCAGGGAAGGGTAAATCTAGTCATTTAAATTAGTAAATTGGAGCAGGGCAGGGGTTTTAGCTTAGTGGTATACGATGCCATTTAAAACTCCTAGGACCCACAGTGGACTACTTGAGTTTGTATTCTGGGCTGTGGCTCCTGACTCCAGCTTCTTGCCAAGGTAGAACCTAGGAGGTAGCAGTGATCGTCCAACTAGATGAGTTCCTGCCACCCAGGATAGACCTGGATTGAGCTCCTGACTCCCGGCTTCAGACCTGGCCCAGCCCGGGCCATTGCAGGCATTTGCGGAGTGAACTACCTGCCTGTATCTCTCCTTCTTGAATTTTTAAAAGTTATTAAATTGACATCATAAAAGTCAACAAAGGTGTGAGCTTATTTCAGATGAATTGTTCTTCTTATTCCAGAGTCTTTGGAACAAATTCTTCCAAGATAAAGAACTTCGATCAATGATTGAACAAGATGTCAAAAGAACGTATGTAGAACTGTTTGCAAGTTATTTCTAATAATTCAAGTTGGTGTCACTTCTTTATAATTTTAGCAGAATACAAAATCCATAGAGGAGCCATACTTAATTAAATGCAGTATTCTACTTGTGTTAACAATAAAGTTTTTTAACCAAATATTTTAATAAATACTATTTTCCATTCCCAGCATACAGATTCCTATGTTCCCTTTAAAAAAATAAATTACATTTGTAGTGCTGATGATCTTTAAATATTATTTAATCAGTTCTGTCAATGCCCAACAGTTATTTGAAGTCATGTGAATCTGATAAAGTTGTACTGTGTAGTCATTATATTGGTATTGCTAGAAAAACTTATCTCTTGCTATTTGTGTTTGAATTCCTTTCTTACCAAATGACTTTTTAAGTAACAACCATTATTCTCATTTTTCTTCCTCTTGAGACCATTCATTTGTGTAAGCAGCCTCTTCTCTCCTCTGCTCAGTACTTCCATCATGAAAGAAAAGTTCATTTAGCACGTGGGTAATGTCCGTAGCTATTAGATATTGGACTTCATCATTCTTGGTCATCCAGTGGAAGCACATGGAATCTGTGTCAGAAGATCCTAGAGTGGCTTTTAGCTAATTTACTCTCTAATTGTGGACAGTTTACTTCCAACATCTTTCCTTCTCAGTTTGCTCTGATGCGTATGAAATGAAGGTAATAGTGACCACCTCTCAGGACTTTTGTAGATTAGTAAGTACAGGTTGAGTATTCCTTCTCCAAAAGTTGTGGGTTCTGAAATGTTTCTGATTTTGCAGTTTTTTGGATTTTAGAATAGTTACATTGACTTTCCTGAGTCATCATCCCTAATCCAAAAATCCAGTTTTGGATTGGATTAGAGATGCTCAACTTGTAGATGTAGTAATGCTAGTAAATTAGGTTCATGCTTTAAACTGTAAGGCATCACATAAATATTAGTAAGGTTAATTTAATCACGAGGGCCTGGGACTAGCCATGGATGCAGTGACAATGTCATGAGTACCCCAGTGGCTTCCTCTACATCCTTCTGTAGCCTTACCCGTGTGCTCCGCTTTCAGCTCCTACTATGTGTTACAATACCCAGACCTCTGGATTTCCACATTCACCTCCTCCCCTGTACCAAAACTGAATAGTCAGATGATGTGGTCTGCTGGTAAGGTTACCTGCATTTTAACGATGGAATTTTCTATCTTAAAATGAAAATCATTCAGAGGAACTGAGAGTTCCAAGTAAGCACAGCTATAGATAACTGTGGATGCTGAGGGAGAGCATTTGGTTGGCTTGGAGTGCCCAGTTAGCTCACTCTGTAGGGAGGCTACTCTAAAAGTGTCAGGTGTTACTGTTTCATCTCCCCAGTGTACAGTTCCAGAAAGTACATCATCATTGCATTGTCACTCAAGAGACACACAAGAAATATTTGAATAAAACGGAAGAAGGCATTTCCTCAGTAACCATTGAAGTATCTGGGCAATCAGGCAGTAAAGCAGACCTCATAAAATCAGAATGTGCAACATTGATTGTTAACCAAGCAGTAAAGGTATCTCTTTTAAAAACTCCTAGGCAGTTATCGTTACAAATTTGACAACTTCAGATTGGTCTGTCTCCTAACTAGGATTATAATTAATCTCTCTATGCATGGATAATGGAAATGGAGGGACTATGGCAACTATGCAGATTCACACACTCAGATGCCATGGGAGCCAGATTAGTTAAAAGAAACAGCAACCAAGGCGGAAGGAGGGAGGTGGATAAAACTCTGATAGCCACACCAAACAGGAAGTGAGGTTGGGAGCTTGCTCAGCATTTTGACTACTTGGCTCAAATATTTCTGTTGCACAGTGTAATATCAAAGTGTTCTTTTTTTTTAATAAAGATTTTTTTTTTTTGAAAGGTAGAGTGAACAGAGAAGGAAACGAGAGAGAGAAATCCTTTATCTACTGGTTCACTCCCCAAGCGGCTGCAGTGGGTAGGGCTGGGGAAGACCGAAGCAAGGAATCAGGATCCCCATCCAGGTGTCCCACATGGGTAGCAGAGGCCCAAGGACTTGAGCCATCTTTGGCTGTTTTCCTAGGCATGTTAGCAGGAATCTGGTTAGGAAAGGGAACAGCACTCTGCTATGGGAGGCAATTGTTGCAGGCAACCACTTCACCTGCTGTTTTCCAACACCAGCCCCAAGTGTCAGTTCTTGAAAACTGTATTCTTTCAGCTGTTTGGTTTTCTGTTTTCTGTGTTTTTTTCATAACAATATAAAATACAAAAATATTAAGGTACAAATACAGATTATATATAAATAAATTTTTCTCAGACCTCTCTCCACCAGTATATTTTAATTAACATTGTAAAACCAAGATTCAGAGAAAGCACTTAGGAAATGCAATAAGTTCATTTGTAGCTAGAGGGCTTCCCTCTCTTTTCTTCCTTGAAGGCTGTCCAAGGCCTTGTCCATGTTTAGAGTGAGTCTCCAAGCCTCCTCTCCATACATGTTCTGGCAAAGAACTTAGTGTGTAAAGTAAAGTGGTCAGTCTAATTTTAAAGCCACCAAATTGCTTAATCACAAAACCTGAACTGCTTGAATAATTTTATACTGTGTGTCTTTCTAAGGTGCAACATGCTCTCACGTCCATGTCTCTCAATCCCGTCTGTAAAGCAGTTCATAACATAGAGAAGAAGCAAAGTACAGCTCAGAGAAGCTTGTACAGCGCTGTTCGTACCCTAGAATCTGTAATTAGAATTTTGACTTTGTAAAATGTACCTTGATTATCTGTTACGTTCCAGTCTCATCTTTGCATGAGGGGAGCAGAGTGGTGAGTGACATGGCCAAGGTCCTCCTATCACAGAATGTGTATTTTCCTGTGGTGGAGGAGCAGGGCTGAGATGTACAGGAAGAGGAGGGTAACTTGCAGGTGATGGTTACTCTGAAAGAATCAAGCAGGGTAGGAGGATACTTAGAATCTGCTAGAGGGATGGCTACCTTAGGACTTGTGATCAGAGACCGCATCTCTGAACAAACGATATTTGAGCTGAGATGTGAAAATATTTTAAAAGTTAGACATGTGAGAGTGTAGGAGATTGTTCTGGCAGAGGGAATTGGGAACGTGAAGTCTCAATGAAAATGAGCTCCGTGTTGAGAGAAACAAAAGGAAGACAGGTGTGACCACAGCCAGCTGATGTATAGCGGGGAATCTGAGAAGAGGGCAAAGGCTAGACAGAGTCTTACAGCAGTGAGAAGTTTGCATTTTATTTCCATTGCAATTGGCAGCTATTGGTGAGTACTGAGCAGGGGTGTCTTACCTAAAAAGATAATTGTGGCTGCCGCAGTGGGATGAAGGTGAATGTGAGAACAGAACCTGGAATAGGGTCTAGGAGCCTATTGGCAGTGTTCCAAGTCAGGTAATGTTCGTAACTTAAACTAAAGACCATGAGTAGAGAAATGAAGGATATAAAGCTGATAGTTTTAAATACAGGTTAGAGGATCATTAGACGTAACAGTCCTATGTTCTTTAGTTTTATTCCGTTTTTATTGCTATTTCAAGTATTTTTGCCTCTTACATACAGTCTCTTAATTGTTTAATTTTTCTCTTTGGGTCTACTATCTTTCCACATCCAGTCCTTTCCATGTATTGTAATCACACTTCTCCCAGCGCATTTACAGTCTTGCTACTTGCCTACTTCAGAACCCTCTGTGACTCTCCATGGCCTGCACACACATCAGTCCTAACACATACTCAGTTCCCTTTTAGACCAGTGATCCAGCATTACTCTGTGAGCAAGTGTTATGCTTTCCTTTTTCAGTGCTTTGGAATATTCCATACTCCGCCCTGCTTCCTTCCACTACTCTGTGAGGGATTCTTGACAATTTATTCTTCAAGGGCTCAGTTCGTCACCACAAAGTATTTTCTAGTCTTGAATTATAAGTAATCTGTGCTTATTTGGAGTTCAATGGCATTTTCTTAATGACTTCATAACGATAGCATTTAGGGTTTTCTTTGGTCATGGGTTTTATCTAGATTCATCTGTCAATGCATTCAGAACATTTATGTTAATATCTTCAGGTTAGGAGTCACTGGAGTTGTGAAGATAAATACAACATGGACCTTTAAGAACTCCAAAGTCTAATAGAGCAAGCAGGGAAAAAACAAACTTCAAATTCAGAATAACTGGTGCTTTAATAGAGGCAGGCTGTGGGTACTTCAGAAAGCTCACAAACAGGAGCTGTTATGGCATCAGATGAAGCCATTGCCTCCAATCCAGCTCCCTGCTCACCAGGCTGGGAAAGCAGCAGAGGGCGACTCAAAGACTTGGGCCCCTGCACTTGTGTGGGAGAACTGTGCGGAATTCCTGGTTGCTGGCTTCGGACTGGACCAGACCTAGCTGTTGCATCATTTGGGGAGTGAACCAGCAGATGGAAGATCTCTCTCTCTCTCTCTCTCTCTTTCTCCCTCCCTTCTCCCCTCCTCCTTCCCTCCCTCCCTGCCAGTTAAATAAGTAAATCTACAAAAAAGAAGGAAGTTACTAATATCAACCTTCTAGTATAAGTTTAAATAAGATCATTTGACTTTATGAGATGTGTTTTTGTCATTATTATTGATTTTTTAAAATATTTATTTTATTTGAAAGAGTTACAGAGAGAGGGAGAGACAGAGAGAGATCTTCCATCTGCTGGTTCACTCCTCAAATGTCCATAATGGCCATGGCTGGGCCTGTCCAGAGGCAGGAGCCAGGAACTTCTTCCAGCTATCTCCACATGGGTGCAGGGGCCCAAGAATTTGGGCCATCTTCTATCACTTTCCCAGGCACATTAGCAGGGAGCTGGATCAGAAGTGGAGCAGCCAGCACTCTAATTGGCACCCATATGAGATGCTGGCACTGCAGACGGGGGCTTTAAAACCTGCTGAGCCACAGCACTAGCCACATTGTTATTGAATTTAATTGATTTGGATATGTCAGTGTATTAAATGTTGCCTCTCCCTTCAACTAATTTTAATATT